AGTCCAGTTGTGCTGACTTCCCCTGTAGTGTGTGCTGTCCTTCCCTTCACCTAAGATAATTCTTATCTACTATCTAGTTAGTAAATAACCCTCACCCTCCCTCTCCATCCTCATAACCATCAAAGAATGTTTTCTTCTGTGTTTCAACCTTTTCTTGAGTTCTTATAATAGCGGTCTTATACAATATTTGTCCTTCTGAGACTGAATAAATTCACTCAGCATAATGACCTCCAGATTCCTCCATGTTATGAGATGTTTCACGGCTTCATCATTGTTCTTTATCATTGTGTAGTATTCCATTGTGTGAATATACCATAATTTGTTTGGTATATTTCGTCCATTGATGGGCACCTAGGTTGTTTCCATCTTTTTGCTGTTGTGAACAGTGCAGCAGTGAACATTGGTGTGCATATATCTATTTGTGTGACGGCTCTTATTTCTCTAGGATATATTCCAAGGAGCAGGATAGCTGGATCGTATGGTACTTCTATATCTAGCTTTTTAAGGATGTGCCAAATCGATTTCCAAAGTGGTTGTACCATTTTACATTCCCAGCAATAGTGTATAAGTGTTCCAGTCTCTCCACAACTTCTCCAGCATTTATTATTTTGTGTTTTTTGGTTTCGTGCTAGCCTTGTTGGGGTGAGATGATATCTCTTTGTAGTTTTGATCTGCATTTCTCTAATGGCTAATGATTGTCAACATTTCTTCATGTGTCTGTTAGCCACCCGAATGTCTTCTTTGGGGAAGTGCCTGTTCATATCCTTTGCCCATTTTTTAATTGGGTTATTTGTCTTTTTGTTGTTGAGGTTTTGCAGTCTCTTGTAGATTTTAGAGATTAGCTGCTGATTGGAATTGTTGTAGTCAGAATTTTTTTCCCAGTCTGTAGGTTGGCTTTTGACTCTTTTGGTGAAGTCTTTTGATGAGCATAAGTATTTGATTTTTAGGAGCTCCCATTTATTTAGTCTCTCTTCTGGTGCTTATGCATTGTTACTTACAGCTTGTATTGTGTTTATGCCATGTATTAGGGCTCCTAGTGTTATTCCTATTTTTTTTTCCATGATCTTTATCGTTTTCGATTTTACGTTTAAGTCTTTGATCCATTTTGAGTCAGTTTTTGTGCATGGTGTGAAGTACGGGTCTTTTTTCAGTTGTTTGCTGATGGATACTCAGTTATGCCAGCACCATTTGTTAAAGAGACTGTCTTTTCCCCAGTTAGCGGACTTTGGGCCTTTGTTAAATATCAGCTGCTCATACGTGGATGAATTTATGTCTGGATTGAGAGACCACTTCTGAATGGGTGATTGAAGCCTTCCTGGATGAGGTGACATTCAAATTTAACTTTGAATAATAGATAGGATTTTTGGCATTTACAGATTGAGGAAGGTGTGGTTTTTTCTAGACAGAAGAAATTTATATCGGTAAAAGTTGTGCAGTTAAGAGTGATTTTGATAAAATCATTAGTATGTATATATGTTATTAGTCTATGTTATGGGCTATATAAGGAACTCTGGTGACTTTACACTTAAGCACTCAGCTGCTTACCTAAAGGTTGTCAGTTTGAACCCACCCAGTGGCTCCAGTGGCTCCTTGAGAGAAAGGGCTGGTGGTTGGCTCTCGCAAATATTACAGCCTAGAAAATCCTATAGGGCAGTTCTACTACGTCATACGGGGTCGCTATGAGTCGAAATTGACTCAGTGGCACCTAACAACACAACATGGGCTATATGGATCAAACCTCAACAAAAACACATTTTGCTTTCTATCCCATTTTTTTTCTCCATTAAGCCCCAATCTGTAGGACATAATGTCTATGTCTTTCACATTATCTTTTGCTGCCTTTGATTAAAGAGCAAGGACATATTTGTGCCAGAGAATTTGCGTTGTATTGGGTCTTCATGTGGTCTATTAGCCACGGACATTTTTGTATATGAAAAAAATGAACAAGAAACAAGGAGTGTCAACTTACATTTCTCTACTTTGAATTGAGCTTATTTCTCAACAAGTAAGAGCTACTAAAGAAGTTTTGAATAGAGAGTGATATAGTATGGAATTCTTCTGTCTTCTTAGAACTATAAGAAAATATTTTTTTACTATAAATACTATAGCATTTATAGCCCTTTACATTTTCTCAAAAGAAAATGTTCTTCTACCCCTAATCCATCCATTCAACTGATTATGAAGTCTGTAGAAAGAATATAGTATGTGTATGTAGGACCCTGTGGCTCAAACAATGACCCAAATTAAGTATAAATTGTGCATTATGTAATAATAAGAAATATAGGTTGAATAATTTGAAGCATATTCCAAATCCCACAGCATGTGCTAAAAGCCACGGGTCCTTACTCTTGGTGATAATGCTTTTTTAATGTTGAGCATGTTGTATTCTTTGAAATTGTGTAGGGTAACTTAATAAGAAAGTGAAACTCATAGGTGGTTTCCCGCCAAGACTTAGTTTACTTTTTCTGCATTAATCAGTCAGTTTCTCTTGAGGGGCTGTTTGAAAAATGATAACAATTTTACACACAGAAAAGATATCTGACCTAATATGACTATGTTTCTTTGGACTGGCCTTAATACTACTTTTCTACATTTGCGTCACATATCCTGGAAGATACTTCCTTTTCCAGAAATGGGGCCAGATGCCTTTAAACACTTAGCTTAAGCCTCTTTCTGAATAATGTGTTCCATATGTTTATTACAATTTGCATGAAATATTTGTGCCTGAGGTCCTTTATTTATTGCAAGTTTCCTGATTTTTAGAACATAACTTTTAGATTCTGAACCTTTGTTGAACCTTGTACTCACGGGCTTGGTGTCCAGACTGACTGTAATTCAGAGCTTTCTTTTCTTTCTTTTTAAATAAGGGCAAGGGAAGGAGGACACTGAGACAGTTTAAAAAAGGCAGGCGTGACTTTATAAAGTAAAGAAAATGTTTGGGGGTTGGTTGGTTTTAACTTAGCCATGCGAAGTTTGAGAATGCTGTTCTTCTTCCAAACTCAGGGTTTGCATTACTTCATGAAATGATCCTCTAAGCAATGTGCATTTATGCTGAACCATGCTGGGACCCTTTGTCCCAGATGTTCTGCACAAAGCTAAATGCTTGCTCACACAGTGCACTTGCTTATACACACTAGGTATGTTGCACTCCTGTGTTGCTTGTATATGAATCATCTCCTTTGACATAAGGCACAGCTCACTCTCCCCATGTTGCCACTTTCTCAATGCCAGCAAGTAACGGGGTCCTCATCCTGTTTTGCTGTCCCTGTCATTCATTCAGTAGGACTGTGATGCCCAAGGTCACTGACTGCTGATACGCTAGGCTCCACATTGTAGCTTAAGGTTCAGGAGCAGAGAGCCTTTCTCCTTTCCCCGAAATGTGCCATCCAAAATGTTTCCTGTTCTCTTTCTAGTTTGTTTTAAAACACTGCCAAAAGGAATTATGTTTTGAAAATCCATGTTATTTTAAAAGCATTGAAGTACCAAGGTGTTTCGGGATGTTTATGGTGGGGCAAGCCAATCTGAAACAAAATGAATGTGTATAAAAATATTTCTTCTTGGCTAAGAGCATAAAAGCCAAGGTTCAGCTTGTGGTGAACTTTTATTGCCAAGTTATATACACCTCTCTGGACAAGGGCTAGGTCATGCGACGTTCGATACCATCTGACCTCCAACTGGCTGCTGCCCTGATCACTTTGTGGGTGTACAAGATACAGTGATCTTTCATGTGTATTTTTAGGGCATCTGTGTGCTTTCAGCAGAAGAAAGTTTGCTTTCTCTAGCATGGCTCTGCAGACTCACCACCATTAGTGTTTTTACTAGGCAAGCTGGAAACTATAAAACTGTAACAACAACGAAAAAAAATATATTAAAGGGAGAAAAACAAGCATAGTGTGCCAAAATCTATAAAATGTTTTGGTGACTGGGGTGGGAGTAAGGAGCCATTTTTTGATGTTCAGTATTTATACAGCTGCCTATTTAGTGGTAAGAATTCATAGCAGCTGTGATACCTCTAAAACAGGAAACCACCAACCCACTGTAATATTGATATTTAAATGCCTTTTATATTTTAATCATTTCCCCTGCAGGAATGTAGAATCCTGAAGAATTTTTCCTCCTTGAGGGCCATCGTTTCCGCGCTGCAGTCTAATTCCATCTATCGGTTGAAAAAGACTTGGGCTGCTGTCCCAAAGTAAGTTCCCAAGTGTCTGCTGTACTTTTCTTTGGCTGGGGTGATTAGTTGCTGCATAAATGCTATGGGTCCTCACCTTCAAAGCTCGGGTTGTATAACTAGAGAAACAGTATGATCCAGGCAGTGTGTATTTTATACTTAATGAGTAAAATTAATGAGTGTTGAGGCAAGGCTGCTGCAGAAATCAAACTCATTCTCAAAGTGTGCCAACAGGTAAGAGTTCTTGGCTTTGGGGACAATTTTAAGGATGTGCTTATTATCTAGATTTTGAGGGATAAAGTTGTGGAGTGATGGAGTTACAGCAATTTGCCATTACTTCTTGTTATTCTTCAGCCTTATTCTAAAGCCCTGAGCTATTCCAAGATGTGAAGGATAATGTGTGCAGACAGGACATTCGTCCTTGCTGTTCACCAGGAAACCATTTAGTCAATTTCTGCTTAGCATATTAATGGCTGTTTTAGGGATGTAAATTGTCTCTAAGTGCTCCTTCTTAGGTACCTGGCTGAAATGATTTAACTGGCCGCATTCTGTGCTACTTTTATTCGTATTTCCTGGTGCAACCTTGGGAACAATTAGCAATTTTATTTCCTTATTATTTTGCTATTGCTATATCCTTGTTAGCTGAGAACATAACAGCTCTTCTGCAGAATTTCCAGAATTTCATTTGTAGATCAGAGAAATGTTTGCAAAGGAGGGAAGGGTGAGAGAGTAGGCAGTTCTGGTCTCATATCAGTACAGATTTAAGAGCCTAGGGATTGTGGCGTGGGTATCACCTAGGCCAGCTACATTCAACAACTCTACCCAGCTTTGAACCAGTCAGATAGTCAGGATATATCAGGGAAGAATGTGTAAACTGTTTCTAGTCCGTGCTGTTTGCAGTATAGTCAGTTTCTGTCAGGAAGGAGACCAGCTGGCTCCCTAGGCAGGGATACGTGGGTGGAATTGGTGGGTTAGTCCTCAGGGTGGAAGGTCTGGGTACACAGTTTCATCAATAAACCAGAGCTGATTAAACGCTAAGGGACTGACACTGTCTAAACTTGCAAGAGACCGAGATTGGTAAACCAGAGGAACGTCTATTTGGCAGAAGTCAAATCGTTTACTTGAGAATGTTTTGATGGGTGAGGAGTCTGCAAAAGTTGAAGCGGACAATCTTAAAGCCTAGTGTTACAGAGCTGTAGAATCTGGATACAGCAGAGCCTCTTGAATTCCAAAGCTTGTGCTCTGTTTACAACAGTGCTATCTATCAGTAAAAAAACTGACACGTACGCCTTCCAAAGCCCAGTACCATTTTCTTGATTACCACTCTTTTCACGGGTTCTGTCTCCTCTTCATTAGCTTGAATAGTCAAGGTGACCACGTGTGTGAAAGAGAGATTCTCCTTTATGCATATATCTTAAGAAAGATGCAGGCTATATACGGTGAAAACTGTGAGAGCCGGGACTCGACAGGACTGCCTTGTTTTTCTGGGTCTTCGCAAAGTTTCAGCCTTTTACAAGGTGCAGTCTTACCACTTTTCTATTGCTCGTTTTAGCGGAAAACTATTTTGAGTTTTGCTTCTCTAACAGGTTTTTGCCTTACACAGGTTCCGGCTTTCACAGGTTTTGCTGTAAAATCATTAGATGATAGGTTCTGGTGAAATACGTTGGGAAAATTAGAGGCGTAGAGTCCCCGTTCCCCCACCTCCATATCACTTCTCTTCCTCGTCACCTTTCCACAACTGTGGTATCAAAGGCAAAGGGATGGTCATGTGTTAAAATGCAACCTTACCTGATTGCAGTGAAAGGTAATCCTGTCTCTCTTTGGCAGCTGGTGAGTAGAGCACAATGGGAAGTCACTTAGACTGGCAGTGATTTATTCCAGAGTACGTTTGAGGCTAAAACACAAGTAAAAAATCAGTGGACTTGTAGCTTAATCTCCTTGATTACCAGATGAGAAAGTCTGTGTTTCCAGATGGCTTTTTTAACTGCACCTACTCCTCTCTTATCAACTACCTCGTTATTCAATGTTTCGCATTTATGACAATAGTAAAAAATCTACTATCCAACTATTTTACGCATTAGTGATGTATATCTGGCAGTAACTCTTTCCTGTCCAGTGGGACATATATATCCCACATAATATTTTGTGATCTGATGTGGTCATCCTCCATTTTTGCATAAGGCTGATTTTTGCTAACAACCCGGTCTTTGGAACCTGACCATCTCAATATGTGAGGAGTGGATGTATTTAAAAAAAAAAAAAAATCAAAGCCACATTCTGTACACCATGGGTGTCTAGTTTGTTTCTTGATTAATTGGTTGGTTGATGTTTTAGTAGAGATGCTACAGAAGTGTCACAGTTCGTTAGAGAAGACGCTTCCATATCAGCTTTACACATTTTCCATTGCTAAATTCAGGGGACAGGTTTAAGAGATCTTATTTGATCATTGGCTTTCCTCATAATCCTTTAAGTTTCTAGCTTTCAGACGACAGAGAGGACATCTGTTTATTTCTCTTTATTTAGGACCACATGTAATTAAGTTTTTAATTATTTCTTCCAAAATGTGAATAGCTTTAATGTCTTTTTATTATAAGAGTAATATTATATTTATTGTAAAACAAAATAGGTTCTTAATAATGGCTTTTGCATGATAATTAAAATGTTGACTATATAATGATATTGCCCCCATTAGTTCTCTGCCTTCCGGGCACTTCACTCAGTGCCCCAGGAGGGTATGTAGAGAGAAGCGTGAGGCTTGTGGAGATGTAGCGTACTCGAAAGGGACAAAGGCAGAGTAGATGCTTTCCACATGTGGTCCTGCTTACTTTCACAGCAATCCTATGAGGCAGCCACTAGTGTTTCCATTGTACAGATAAGAACACCAAAGCTCAGAAAAGTTAAGCAACCTCTCCAAGATCACTTGGGAAATAAGTGGCAGAGTTGGAATTTGAATGCTAACTCCTCTCATTCCAGAGTCCTACTGATTGAACCATTCATTCCACTCTGGCTCTGAGAGTGAGAACACTGGGCCACGGGCAAGGAAATTTGGTTCTATACCCGGAACTCTCAACAGTTACTAGTGGAAACGTGGGAAAATCCCTGGCCTTGGCTTCTTGGTCTCTACAATGAGTGGCCTGGCCAGAATGACGTCTCAGGTCCCATCAGGCTTTGTCTGTGTTGCTAAGATAGGTTTTTTTTAAAAAAAAAATTAAGGAAGAGGACATGTCCCAATTGTACAATTAAATGTCCCCACTTAACTTTTTTTTTATGATTATAACATGAATTGTTAGAAAATATCCCTTTCTATACACAGATGGCTATGTCTACCTTAAAAAAAAAAAAAGCCACCTTGCATCAAAAGTATCACTGGCATCATCTATGCTGTTATTATCCACTGGTCTTGAGGTCAGTTTAATCCTCCTATATCCATAGGTACTGAGGATAGCTGGGCCAAGGGTCTTGGGCTAACTAACTCTTCATTTGTTAATATTTTCTCAATTCCTCTTCATAGGGACCGTATGCTGATGTTTGAAGAACTTTCAGATATCTTCTCAGATCATAATAACCATTTGACCAGCCGGGAACTACTGATGAAGGTGAGGGTACTTGGTTGTTGATGTTGGGTGCCAGCAACTTGGTTCCATCTCGTAGTGACCCCATGTGTCAAAGTAGAACTGCCCTGTAGGGTTTTCTAGGTTATAATCTTTATGGAAACAGCCATGTCTCCTGCAGAGCTGCTGTGTGGGTTCAAACCGCCAACCTTTCAGTTAGCAGCCAATTACTTACCAGAGTACTCAGGACTACTGTTAATAGCTGTGGAATACATTCAAAGGAAGAGTAGCTTGAATGCTCCTTAAAATTCTATAGTCCCCTGGGAAAGCCTAAGGAGACTAGAAGGGAGGATTTTTATTTATGCAGCATCTAAGAAACTTGAGACTCAGAAAATTCAAAGTCCAGTTGAGCTCTCTCCTTCTGTCCTCCTTAGCGTCACTATTACATAACCAGATTGTGAAATTCATGCTCACGTGTGTACTTTTTTGACAAGCTACTCTGCAAATACCAAGTGCTGGCACTTGCTGGTGGGCGAGAGGCCCTGGAATAGTTCTCAGCAAAATATCTTCTAGAATGACAGAGCCCAAACCTGCAATTCCACATCCATTGTTTGGACTAAATTGCACAATCTCTCAGTCAGCAATATTTCTTTCTTTCTTTCTTTTTTTTTAATCATGCTTTAGGTGAAAATTTACAGAGCAAATTAGTTTCTCATTAAACAATTAATACACATATTGTTTCCTCACATTGGTTGCCAACCCCGCGACGTGTCAGTACTCTCGCCTTCTCAATCTTGGGTTGCCCATTTCCATTCATCCAGCTTTCCTGCCCCCTCCCACCTTCTCATCCTTGCCCCTGGGCTGATGTGCCCATTTAGTCTTTATATAGTGTCCTTCTTTGTCTTTTATGGTGGATTTTGTTTTAAAGTCTATTTTATCTGAGATTAGTATTGCCACTCCTGCTCTTTTTTGGTAG